CCTACCTCGCTCCCTCCCTTGGTTCCTCCCTCCATCCCGCCATCCCGCCATCCCTCCATGCCTCCTTCACACTCTGCCTCCCTCACTCCCTCCTTTGCTCCCTCCATGTGGAGGCTTGTGCCGCCGCTCCTTCTGACATCCAAAAGCAGAATGTTGTAGACATACATATACATACATACATAAACATACATACATAAACATACATACATACATATAAATACATACATACATATACTGTGATATACATACATACCCTCATGCGAGCTACTCTTTCTCTGTGGATGGATGTGTTTTGTTGGTTTGTTTTTTAATACATGGCCTAATTCTTTGCCCTGCTTTGCGGCATGGGCTGTGTTGTCGATGGAGTTACGTCTGTGGATGGCCACAAGTTTTTTCTGGGGTGGGAGCTTGGGGGTTTTGCGGCAATATCTCAGCGAGGAGGCTCAGAGAGTGTTTGCTGTGGGACAGTGTGGGTGTCATTCCCGCGGGCTGCTCTTTCAGAGCACATGGAAGAATGGGGTAGCTTCTAGGGTGTTTTAAGCAGTAGCGCTCCTGGTGTCGGTGTTGCCTGCAGGTGCTGTGGTGTTCTGATTTGTGGTGGCGTGGGCTGCGTTTTAGGCCGTTGCAGAGGGCTCTAATTTTTTTTTAGACCATTGGCATGTGTGGTCGGTGCTTTTTGTTAGTGGAGACTTTTGTGTCATGTTGGTTGATGGTTTTGTGGGCCGACTTGGGAAGTTTTTTCGGACCTAAGGAGGATGGGGTCGGTGCTTTCTTGCTGGTGGAGTCTGTCTTAGGTAAGTTGCCTTTTACCCTCCGGTCTTTTGTGGATCAAATAAATATATGTATAATAGTATATATCATAGTTGCGGCGCACTGCTGCGCTGCGCGCCTGCCTGCCGTGCGCACAGACGTGCATGATGCGCGCTCATCGTTGTGCGGTGCGCAATGCGCAATGCGCTGTGCGGCTCTGAGGTGCGCGCGGCGCCGGTGTGCGGGTAGGTGCGTGAACAGCGCGCATCGGTGCGCATGGTGTGCGCAGGATTTTTCTTTTTTTAAGGGGGAGGGAGGGATCTAAGGGTGCAGGATTTTTTGAAGAGGAGGGAGGTAGGGAGAGGTATGACGAAGGAGATGTATGACAAAGGAGGAGGGAGAAGAAGTATGATGAGGGAGGAGGGATGAGGGGTATGGCGAAGGAGGAGGGAGGAAAAGGATGACGAGGGAGGCAGGAGGGAGGAAGGAGGAGGAGACCGCTAACAAAGGAGGCCATGTTCACTACGCTGGAGGCCCTTTTTTTTATTTGAAGGAAGTGGAGGAGAACGAAGAAGAAGGAAATCAGATTCAAAAAAAGAACGAGGGAGGGGAAAGGAGAAGAATGACGATGGAGGAGGGAGGAAGACGAAGTTAACGATGACAAGGGATGAGGGGGAAGGGAGAAGGGAGGAGGGAGGAGGGAGGAAGGAGAAGGGAGATGCGACCGATGACGAAGGAGGGAGCGGGAGGACAATGACGGGGGGAGCAGGAAAACGATGGCGAGGGAGGGCTGAGGAGGAGAACAATGGGGAGGGTAATCAAACTTGAATACAAAAAAGAACCAGAGGAAGAGAGAGAGAGAGAGAGAGAGAGAGAGAGAGAGAGAGAGAGAGAGAGAGAGAGAGAGAGAGGAGAGCGTGAGAGGGGCTGGTGGTAACCCACCACTGTTGTAGACGTGGCTTCCTCCGGCTCCTCCCGCTGCGCTGGCGATGGCCACACGACAACAACGAGGCTGCTTCCTGGTGCACAGACGAGGCGACGAAGGCCAACACGCGGCGGCTGGGAAGGAGAACGTGCTGTCTAGCCGCTAAGGTCGACTACCAGGTTTCTGCAGCCAGCATGGTGGGTCTAAGTAGTTCAAAATCGAGCTACGCAGATCTCCCTCGTTGTTTTTTTGGGTGCCGGTGCGCGGCCTACAAAAAAAAACTCCCCACTTTGGTACCGGTTGGTGCAAACCGGCATAAGGGCCTACAACCCCCCCCCCCCCCCCCCYGCAACTTTTTTTTTTTTGCTGACCTCTGGTTTTCGAGGTGCGTCGCCTGCCGTGTGCGTGCATCGTGCTCCATGCGCAGTGCGGCTCATCTGCGCTGTGCGAGCACTTGACATGTATGGTATATATGTACGTGTGCAAGTGTGCTGCTTCGGCGGCAGACCGGTGTGTGGGCACTTGGCGCTGAACCAGACAAACGTGGCCAACCTTGCATTTTCTATTTTATTGTCTATCTATGCTTGTTTGTTATGGATGGTTTGTTATGATTTGTGGAGGAAATGAGCGAATTTGGGGTGCTTTGACAACACACATATGTACATACACACATGCATTCATGCACACATACACACATGCATTCATACACACATACATACATGCATACACATACATATATGCATACACCCACCCCCCAATTGCTTGCCCAGTGTGGCGTTGTGGCCTCGACATGCCATGTGTAAATAGCTGCGAACGTCAGGCTGCTTTCCTGCTGACATGTCAGCAACATGCTATGTGTTGTCAATGTTTCCAGGAAGCTGTCATAGAAAGTATGTGTCTTTCTTGCGGGGACTATCCCCAATGCCATCATCTGTTACATCCTCTCCTAGTATGTCCCACATGCACCATTGGAGGTTTGCCCGGCGAACGACAGACGCAGCAGCCTGAGGTGGGTAATCGACTACCATATGAACCACCTACAGAGCGCTGTACTGAAAGGATATCTCCACCAGGACGAGCTGTTGCAGACGAAATTCTGCAGCAGCTAAGCACCCTTGCTTTGGAACAATCCCCATCGTCGTCTGCCCATAGAGAGGGAATAAATACTACGTATGAAACCTGCTCAATGCCTCTCTGTAATGACCCGCCTGAGATCCGGCTGGCATGCGGTTCACATGCCTTGTGCTGTGAGGATTATGAAGGATACTCCATGCGAACTTTTGTTTTCATACGTATGATGACAGTCAGTACTGCACTCATCTACGGCACCCTGACATGTCGTGTCCAATTTGTAGACAGGGGCTGGAACGACAATGTCTTTCCAATTGCAGCCGGCGTGCCTCTGTGTTCGTAGCATGTAGGAGCCACGTAGCCCGTGACATCTGTCTATGCCAAACCATTTGATGCAGCAACTACGATTGCGAGAACTGGATGTGGTGCTTCCATAGTCCACACCTGCACCGGTCCTGTCCGGTCTGTAGGGGTGGCAACTTACCATAGGCAATGGCTGCTCGTCAACTCAAAATCTTATGCAACCCAAACACTGGCTGGCCTCATGTGCCATTCTAGAGTAGTCTGCTCCGGCGATGAGTGTTGAGAATGAAGTTCGTCACATCTCTGTCCTGTTCTTTGCTCTCCACTTCCTCTCCTACCCTTTCTCCCTCCCCAGCCCCTTAATCCCTACAGAACTCCGCTTCTTACCCCTTTACCTTCCCCTTATGTGCTACTAGCAAAATAACATACGGATGAGCATCATTAAGAGAACAGGCAAAATATAAGCTGAAGATCTAAAGTGAAATGAGCAGGAGTATATCTTCCCCTTTACTCTGCCTCCTCTCATAGCACGCAAGTGGGCCGTTAAGGCACACGGGGATGTGGGCAGCTGCCTCAACCACAATCAATGTGGGCAGCCTTGTACGTGCGAGGGACATAAAAATGGGGAGCTGCAAGAACAACTAAAAGGGGTACCCCAAGGATAACCAAAAAACTGTCTTATTGTAAAATTGTTCAAATGTTGGACTGTCTCAGCTGAAGTGCTCTCATGGTCTGCAATAGGACAAAAGCTGCTTTGATTCTCAATCTACTCATCTGGGTGGACTTGGGGCTGTTGTGGGGAAAATCTAAAGCACTCATCCATCCAAAGTTCCAAACAAACATGCATCATACACACATGCATCCATACACACATGCACACATACATACATGCATACATGCATGCATACATGCATGCATACATGCATGCATACATGCATGCATACATATATACACATGCATACATGTATGCGGAGGCTTGTGTTGCTGCTCCTTCTGACATCCACAGCAGAATGTTTTAGACACAAACTAGTAAATTACATGTCCAGGTTGTCAAACAGTCACTGCAAGGGTAAGCAAAAAAAAATGCTGTCAACTCATATTATGAAAGGTGAAATCCTTCCACCTGTTGATTATCTTTCAGTTTCTTTACCTTTCTTCCTGTTAGACTTGGCAAAAATCATCCACGGGCTGCTTGTGGTGTGCTTTGCCTTCTCCTCCCTTCTTCCCTTCTTGTTTTAGGATTTTAAAAAGGGAAGCTTCCAAATCGGTTTATGCTCCAAGGAACCAATGCTGAAAAAGTCTGCTATGCGACCACAGTTTTCTTACATGTTTTGTTAATTAAAGCAACCCCTTTGAATGGGAAGCGGTCAAAACTAAGTTGAAACTTGAAAATACCTACATGATGTGTACATTTCATCGCGTTGTTCTCAATCCAGGTAGATGTCTCACTTTCGCCTTCCTAAATCGTCACTGTTCTTTAGATACAGGCTTGTTCATACCAGCCCACTCTGCAGCTTCCCTGTGGGAGCTAGCATGCGTGATTCTTCCCTTCTTCCGTTTTTCATATTTCTCCTTTTGGATGTTTTTCGTCTGCTGCTGTGCTTGCTCACAGGAGCAGGTGATGAGCATCGTCAACGATTGCTTCCCTCATGCAGCTCAAGGATGCCTCTTTTTTCTCAAGGCAGACAACGATTCCAATCGCCACAGGCCTCTATCGTCCACGGTATTGCCACCCACTTATCATGTCCACTTCGGGCAAGGGAGGTAGATCCAGAGTTGGATACCACTGAAAGATACTCAAGGGCAGCTGGTGCGTCCACGGGGAATGTTCTATTTGACCAAAGTCACCTTTTGGGACACAATTTTACGCTGCCAATCAAAGCCCGTGCTAGGCCGGATAATGGTGATCTTGCCAAATCTGGTCTTGCTTGCAGAATATGTGCTGGAGGACAAGGTTGTGGAAAACTCTGTGCTGGCCACAGGGATCAAGTTGTCCATTCTGATATTGTCCCAGAAGGAGGGGATGGTTCAGAGCATGAATACCAAAGGTCACGAGGTGAGCTCAAGCCACAGGGTGCTGTTGATTGGTTGAGGGATGAGATCGTTTATTCTGAGGACGATGTCCGCAAAGAGGGTAAGCAGGAATACAGAGATCCTAAAGGTGAGGCAGAGCCATGGGGTGATCTTGATTGGTCGAGGGAAGCGATTGTTCACTCTGGTGGTGACCCAGAAGAGAGTGATGACCTGAAGCAGGAATATCAAGTGGCTCAAGGCAAGGCACACCTTCGGGGTGTTGTTGACGGCTTGAGGGATGAGATTGCTCATTTTGATGACATCCCAGGAGAGGGTAATGATTTGAAGCACGAGTACGAAGTCCGTGAAGAGGACCCAAATCCACAGAGTGTTACTGAGTGGTTTCTGAAGGTGGAAGATCGGGTTAAAAGATTGCTCAGCATGGAAGAGAGCAAGGGGTCAAGAGCTTCTATGAACGACTGTGTGCCTCTCCCAGAGGGAATCCAAGTGATGTCAGATAAGGGGGAAGAAGGCCTTAGCAGTTTTTCTGTGCTGGTCAAGCCCAAGCCATCAGAAGCTTTCCCTGCCAGAGAGGACAATGCAGCTGGCAGCTATGTGTATGAAGCGGGATCTTTGGTGAATAGTTTGGACAGAGGAATTGAATGTCAAAGCACCTACTTGCAAGGGGTGGGGTGGGGAATGCGCTTGCCATCGGGTGAAATCTTCATGCAGTATCTGGACGGCTGTCAGGTACGATTCTTTTCGCATGGTCACTTCCATTTGGCAGAAATATCGTTTTGCTTTTGTCAAAATCATGAGTATGGGAAGCGTCTTAAGAACCATTTACAGGGTGTACGCCCCCTGGTGGCTGAATTGTACATGCATGTAAACTTGTAAAGTGTTGATAATAAGCGGACCACAATTGCAATAGCGCTAGAGGCTGCTTCCTTTTCTGTAAAACTGAAGGGAATGGTGGATACAACAACACCAAAGGCTGCAATTTTTTTTTTTTTTTTGAATTAAATCATTTCATGGCATTAATGCCGAAATCCAGGTTCAGTGTCCCTCATGTAGAATACATATACTACGCGTTCCTCCGTTATGGTTCAGGGACCGTGAGACAGAAGCCTTAATTGCTTCCTAACAAGAAGGATGTAACCCTGCTCCACCCCTGTTGTTGTGTAACCTTATATTTCATTGAAATTTGAAACCCCTAAAACGCGCTCCCCTACCAAATCTGGCCTGCCCTTTCTTGAGACTTAGGCTTGATTGCTTCCTAAACAGGAAGGAAGGTTGCACCCTTTTTCTTTCTAACTTCTCGACCCCTCCAAACCCCTAAACTCTGCATTTTTAGGCCTTTTTAATCCTGGAACTGCAAAATCTCCCTCTGCAACTTGTCCTCTCTCTCAGCCTATCTGGCTGCCTGATTTAAGCTTTTTGCGTTTCTACTACTTTCTGGAGATGTAGGCTCATGTAGCTGCTGACTGGGTTCTGAGAGGCTGTTTATCCGGTTGCTTTGCTGTCCCTAGTTCCCTTGCTTTCTGAGATACTATTGCGGCTGTAGACTTTCCTGCAGCAACTCTGGCTGAGGACTCGTCCCCTTACCATTCTCTCTGGCCCTTCTCGTTCTTCTGATTCTGTAGGTCTGGCCAGTGAGGCCTCAATTGTCCGTTGTTGCAGTGTCGACAGTCCTCTGTTTAGAGCAACTATCCGGTCCCTGAAAGTGATTCTATCACCTGGTAATCACCTATCAAAATCAGTGTCCAGCCTGTCCCTCCTAAAGGTGCCTCGAGCTATATCGATGTCTGGGGAGTGTTCGATTTCGGGTTTGTTTTTTCTTCATAGGGCCCTATGTCGGTTTCTATGGCTCTCTGGTTGTATTTCTGCATTTTCAAGTCTTCGCCTCCACAGGGCCCATAAAATTCCCCTTTTAGCAGACAAAAAAAATAAAATGTTATCTTCAATTTTTGTAAGTTTGATTGGCTGTGGGCTTCCTGCTAGGATTGTTCCTGGGCTTATATTTATCTCACTGCTCAATATATCCTTGTTCGTGTTAGTTTCTAGTAATTGCCATAAAGGTCTGGCTTCTTTGCATGTGAGGATGCAATGAATGAGAGAGTTTCTTTCAGGAAAAGCTATATAAATCCCCCCCGCGACAAAACCTTTGTAAGTTTGTATGCATTTCCCCTCCAACGGGGCAAAAAGTGTGAGAGAGGCCCCAAAACACCCCTTTTGAGTCGATTTTGCACCCCGTTTGGGCCAGTAAAACACTTTCCCGCCATTTTTGCACGGTGGCACTGCGGGTGCAAAAATGGCGGGAAACGTTGTTTTAGAACTTTGAGGGCCTTTTGCACTTTTCGCCCCGTTCGGGGGCAAATGCAAACAAAGGTCTCGTCGCCGGGGAGGATTTATAACGTTTCCCGTTTCTTTTTCTTGTGAATTGCAGACCTTACATCTTGCCACTTCTTCTGATCTGTTTTCATATTGTTCTTCTTTGATCTTGCCAGTCGTTTACTTGGACGGCTTGGTAGATGATTAACAGTAGGAGGCTGCTTAGTTTGCTTGGTCTTGTGTGCATGATCCGCTTCCACAGGGCAACCTGTGTTCGATGATACTTTGCCCGGCCCCCCTTTTTCACATCTTTTCGTAATTACTTCTGTAATGGCTTCTTTTGGAGTGAGTGTCCCAAGTGGGATGTACACTGTACAGTGTACAGTCTGTTAACCTGTGAGGTCTTTGTACTTGCAAGTTTGGGGACTGTGTTTTCCAAAACCATTCCCCCGGTCCACTTCCAGTTGATGAATCACGCAGTTGGGATGGAAAGCGTATTCTACTATTTTACTTCTAGAACTCTTTTTCTTCTTAGATTGCTTTCTCTGATTGCCACCTCTGCTCTGTGCACACTGGACAATTTTCCTGTGGTTCTTCCTTCTTCCCGTATGCGACATATGAAGTATAGGATCCAGTTCTTGTAGGGCCATCGACAGGGGTTATGATATTTAGTGCTTCATCTGTCTTGGCTGAGTCTTTCCTGACTGCCCAATTCCCCCACTGGGATACCTCTGGTTCTTTTAAAAGTGTCTGCTATTCAAATGAAAGGTTTTCTATTATTTGCTCTATGTTCTCAGCCAAATTATGGCAGCATTTTAGCTTCCCTCTTAGCTTCGATTCTGATGTCTACTTCTTTGCTAGGTTACCCCAAACATAGTTAATCTGCCAAACTCCTTGTTTGAGTCAGTGGCCCCACTTCAATTCCGCTTTCGGAAAGGCTGGCCTTCCTCGTTAACTACTCTCAGGTTTAGAAAGATAGGTTGCCTCAGGACCTCACTTCAATTCTTTGGCCCTATTCTGATTTGGGGAGTATCTTTAAGATGATTTCTTTCCAAAAGGATCTGTCAACATGTTCCTCTCGTTCTTTGATTTCCTGATCAGTTGTTTGTTTTTCCTTTTTTTTTCCCTTTTTCTTTTTTTTGGTGTTAGGATTGTAGAGTCAGTGCAGACCTTCCATATCTTTGGGCGAGGCGAAAGTAGCTATCGGTAGTTGACATATCTGTCTGTCTGAGTGCTCATTAAATCCCCGGAAGGTCCTGCTGGAAGGTGAGCTTTATAAATTATCATCCATTACATTACATTTATTCTGTAGACCTTGAATTTGGCGCATTGGGTGTCAAATGCCGAGACCTCCCCTTCGCTTCTGTTGGGTTACTGCCTTCCGTGCTACCCAATGGATGAAGCATTCTTTGTCTGGGTCGCCTGTCAACATGAAGGCTATTGCTTTCGTGTTGGTAGACTGTTGAAATTTGTCAGAGGGTAACCAAATTGAGCTAGCATACCACACAATGACCAGATGGATCTTTCCAAGGCTAGCGCTCTGCCCGTGATTGATGTACTGGTGCTGCTGCCATGCATTCTGTTTATCATGCATGAGAGTAGAACTGCTGCAGATTCTGAATGGCATCTGTCACTGCGTACTTTTGTCCCTTAAGAATGTAACTAGGTTAGAAAGGGTCTGCCCATTGCTTGCCTTCTGGTGTTGAGGCTGAGGGGGAAGCTTCTTCAGACATCCACCATCCTATTCTTTTATTCCAAGTAGCTGCTAGGGGGTTATCTTGTCTTACCAAGCGTGGCATTTTATAGGGTTCCGATAAGAAGTTATTCGTATTGGATTCTGAACCACTTTTGGAGGGTTAGGTCGGTCCTACACGCATTTTCCCCGTGCATAGCTGTATGAAATCCCAATTTACTAGGTCATCGGCCTTTTCAAAATCGAAGAATAGAATCCACCATTCCAAGTAGCTGCTAGGGGGTTACCTTGTATTACCAAGCGTGACCTTTTTTAGGGTTCCGATAAGAAGTTATTCGAATTGGATTCTGAACCACTTTTGGAGTGTTAGGTCGGTCCCACACGCATTTTCCCCGTGCATAGCTGTAGGAAATCCCAATTTACTAGGTCATCTGCCTTTTCAAAATCGAAAGAATAGAATGGCGCTGTGTTGATTTTGTTCTCGCTGATTTCTTTGTTGATTCTGAGAGTGTCATCACATTGTCTAAGGTAAACTACTGGGTATGAAACTGGTTTGATTGAGCTGAAAATACTTCGATGTAATGGTTTTTATTATACTCGCTAGCAGCTTTGCTAAAAAAAAATTGTATGAAGGGAGATGGGTCTATAGATGCGTTTAGCTTCTTTGTCTCCCATTGTCTAAAAGGGGTGATTAGTAATTTACTCTTGTACTGAGTTCTGGGCCTAATCTTCCTTTTTCCCAGAACTGTAGTAGGAAAGCCGGAAGTTGTGGACGTAATCCCAGCAGTCATCCATAATTCCTTAAAAGAGACCATCTATGCCTTGGGCTTTGTTTGGTTTGATGGCTTTTAAAGTGTTATGGGTCCTTCTAGCATTTCTGCCACTTCAGGTGTAAGTGCTGTGCTGGAGTGTCCTATCTATTGGAGTTTTGATTCTTTTGGAAGGAGGAGGAGGAGGCAATGTCTAAAACTTGTGTAGTTTCTGTTGTGGTTTCCCTGTGGTCATTCCGTAGGGCTTCTTTCGTGATATTTCTGGGGTTAGCTTTTGTTTTGTAAAGAAAGTATTTTGACGTTCTTGCGTTTAGCTCCCAATCCCTTACTCCTGCCCGCGGTCGGAGCCCTTGTAGCTTTTTTTTTTTCTTCCCTATACCCTTAAAGGATACAGCGGTCCCACCGACAGACGTCGGCGCGGGCCCATGAGAAACTGTGGCAGGGGGCCGTCGTAGGGTGTGGCAGGGAGGGACAGGACCGACGCGGCTGCAAAAACCAAGCGGCATGGGAGGGAGAGGACTGCCGCGGACTGAGGCGGGTGCGAAAACCAAGCGCCACGGGAGGGACAGGTCCGGCTGCAAAAACCAAGCGGAGAGCGAGGGGAGAGGGAAGAGGTGGCGCGGGGCTGGGCGTCGGGCGAGGGATGGTCCGGGCCGGCACCGAACCGAGCAGACTGCCAACGGGTGCGGGGGCGAAGCTTCGGGCGCCGGAAACAGACGCACACACACACACACACACACACACACACACACACACACACACACACACACACACACACACACACAGAGAGAGA